TAGTATCTTGCCAGATGAATAATGTATATGGCAAACCTGGTCCGAATTCCATTTGGACCACAACTGCGTTAGGTGATGTGTATGTATTCGATCCTGCAATTGCAGAGGTAAAAAGTATAAAGGACTATATATATATATATATATATATATATATATATATATATATATATATTAATCAAAAAGGATCCTATATATATTTTAGTCTTATTATATATTTATATATTACTTTATTTTATTGCTTAGGAATGTCAATTATCTGAAGACGGATACGTACAAGAAATGGATATTGCTGGTAAAGATTTACCATTTGAAAGCATTTTACAAAATGGTTTCGGATACGGTAGTACTCTAAGAATTACAGTATGCGTTCATGATGACGCTGACAGGTAAATTTATTAAACAAGTTTAACAGCTGTATACCTCTTGTTCACTTTTAGAGTGAGTAAGTGAGTGAGCGAGCGAGAGAGAGAGAGAGAGAGAGAGAGAGAGAGAGAGAGAGAGAGAGCAGCTTGTGTTAATTATAACTATTTATTTCAGATTGTCTTTTAATCTTGTCTGTTATACTACAACGTTTATAAAACAAAAGACTGTGACGGACAGTCATGACATTGCTTTGCATTTTAATCCAAGACTCAAAGAAAACATCATTGTACGAAATACATATCAAAATGGTCACTGGGGAGATGAGGAAAGAAATGGAGGAAGTCCATTGAAAGCAGGCTGCGACTTCACATTGTATATCGTTTGCGAAGAACGCGGTTATAAAATTCATATTAATGATAGCGAATATACTTTTTATAGTCATCGAATACCTCCCACTAGTATTACACATTTACGTATCAAGGGATTAATGACTTTATGTAGTCTCACATATAAATCTACATCTGTAAGTAAAATATTCTATTAGTGAAGTTTTTTTCTTTATTTTATAATGTTGACCTACCTTGGCAATTATAATGTGCGTGCGTGCATGCATGCATACGTATTTTACTGTTATATACTTTACATAGGTAATTATTGAACCCATTACAATGTTTTGGAGACAAATTGGTGGACATTTGAAAAAAGTTGAGACGTGTTCCGTGGGTGTTACTTGGGGCATTGGTTACGACAGTACTGCTTGGGTATATACAGGTGGATGGGGAGGTGTGTTTCTCAAAGGTACTTTATATTTATAATTAATAATAAATGAACTGATAGGTTTTGTACAAAAGACAAAAGAAGGAAAGAGAATGAGTACTCTCTAAATTTCTAGGGATGAGATTTTATCACAAAAGAAATTTAGAAAGTATAATTATTAAAGATTTTAGGCACGGTAATATTTCGAATTAATGTATCTATAATTCAGTACAAATTGTTAATCTGAAGAGAATTACATAGGCTTAGGCACCAGCAATACCGGAGTAAATACGATGGTAGATACCCATAATTATTATGTATATGAAAATCAACGTTGGAATCCAGTAACTGGATATACTGCACATGGACTTCCAACAGACCGGTATATGTGGAGCGATGCAACTGGACGGCATAAATGTACGCGAGAACATACAAAATTATTGTCAATGCATTGGCATTGGGTAAGTGAATGAGAAAAGAATCTTTTCGAAAATAAGTTGAAACTCTGAATTCACTAGAGCTTTGTGATGTAAAATAATTAAAAAATAGTGTTTACTATTATGACATATTCTTTGAATTGGGATAAATGTATTTTTATATTTTGAAGGTATCAGATTGGATAGTCGACTTTCACACACCCGGTGGTGTTGATAGAGATGGATGGCAATACGCTACTGATTTCCCATCGCAATATCACGGTAAGAAACAATTTACTGATTACGTTCGAAGAAGACGATGGTTTAGAAGATGTCAACTAACGACCAGCGGACCTTGGCAAGAATTAGGAAATACTAAACTCGTTGATGTCTCTTTATATGTATGTTTTGTATTTTTATCATTATCATCTTTACATATTTCGGAAGAAATATATTTTGTTAATTAAAATAGGCATTTGGAAAACCTGGCACGGATGATCCTATTCATGTTTGGGCGGTTGCTGCAAATGGTGAAGCTTTGTTCAGACGAGGTGTCTCAGAATCTTGTCCAATGGTACAATTATTTAAATTGTTTTTAACTTTTTTACATATAATACTATACACACACACGCGCGCGCGCGCGCGCACACACACATTCGCGCGCGCGCGCGCGTGTATGTGTGTGTGTGTGTGTATATATATATATATATATACACATTAGGTGCGCAACTAAGTTCCCGCTGTTTGTCAATAGATGGCTCCAGCAGTAAGTGAACAGTTTTATCGTGATGGTATACGAGCTCTGCCAGAAAGATGAGAAAAAGTAGTAGCTAGCGATGGGCAATACTTTCAATGATTCATTTGTAACCATTTTTTCACAATAAAGTTGCATTTTCATCAAAATAACAGCGAGAACTTAGTTGCGCACCTAATATAATGTATGCGTGTGCATAAAATTGTTTATTAATTACGCATATAAGAATATATAAGATAATTTTTAATGAGCAAAGTACTTAACCGTTAAGTTATGTAGTGATACTTTTGACCTGCTTGACATGTTTTACATATTAAATAGGGAGTATCATGGGAACATATACCAAGTGATCAGCCATTAATTAGCATATCGTGCGGTCCATGTGGACAAGTCTGGGCTATTGGAAAGAATGGTTCCTCCTGTTGGAGGCTAGGCATTAGTGCTACAAAACCAACTGGTATAAAATTAACAAAAAATTATCGCGGCATACATGTATATAATAACTATAATTACTACAATATCTCTATTATACCTAATAGATAAAAATTTAAGGTATTTAATCAAAAACTTTAAGATAATCGATATTTTATTTCAAAAAAATCAAAAATTTAGGTATACAATGGCAAAATGTCGAGCCTCCTTCAGGCGCTCAATTGAAACAAATTTCAGTAGGACATGATGTTGTGTGGGCCTTAGATACGATTGGTCGACTGTCAGTACGCCGAGAAGTACAATCCAATGTTTTCCCCGAGGGAACTCATTGGCAGACATTACCTGCTATGCCAAACGATCCCATTCATATAGGTATCGAGTAGCTATACTCTTCCCTTGCATCTCTTCTATTTCATTGTATGTAAAATGACATGTTAATACATTCGTAGATATGTCAGTCGCAAATGCTAAGCAAGGATTCCGACATGTATCGATTTCGAGGGAGCAAGGACAAATTTGGGCAATTTCAGGAGCTGGTATTATTTGTCGAAGAATTGGTGTTACTCATGAAAATCCAGCTGGAACCGGATGGGTAACCGGTATAGGGGTAAGTAGCGAAAACAAGTTTCAATGAGCTGAAAATTGATTTAAAAAGTATAGAAAATACGGTCTAATAATTACATGAAACTGTAACAAAAGATTGAAATTAGAATTTTTTCTAATAACTTGCTAATTGTTATACAATTGATAAATGTAGATAAATGATTATAATACTCTTTTTTAATACCTAGTGACAAAAGTAGTATTAGTTTTCACACTTGAAATAATTGCATCACTGGAGCGCAATATTAATCTAGAAAAAAGTATAAAATTTTTATTGCAATACTGTCTCATAATTTACATAATATTAAAATTATTAAATGAGAAAAATAAAATTTGAATTTTTTCCTAACAGGCAAACTGGCAAAACATAAGTCTTGGAGGACTTGTAAATAAGACAAAATAATCTTTATTACGCATATTAAAATATTGCGTTATATAAATAAATACGTATATTAAAAGCTACAATAATATTAAACAATTAATAACTTCATGATTGCCTTGTAAAGTGTAATATCGCATGCGTACACATGTATATGAACACAAAAGTATCCATGCCAATACAATGTTGTTAATTTGTAGTCAATCATAATAGTATAGAGCAAATTACTTGACATCATCACATTGAAAACTTCTTCCTCAATATGATGGATATTAAGGAAGTGTTGAAATGAGAGAGAGCGAGAGAGAGAGAGAGAGAGAGAGAGAGAGAGAGAGACAATTAAATAGTTTATAAAAATAAGATATATAAAAGAATATATGTACATTCATTTAAATTCCTTCTTGAGTTACAATTTACATCAGAATATACTTATACGATAAAATAATAATGTCATTATGTAAACATTTTGTTATTTTTTTAGTAGTTAGAATATGTGTGACAGATAAACGGATAAATGTAATATCTGTGACTAGCAAAATAGCCCAAAAAATGCTTATAAATATATAATAAAATTAAATAATACTTTTCTGTGATTGTGTAAACATTCCAATGAGCGTAACAATATTTATTAAATGATACTTAAGAGCTACTTTTACCAATTTTATGAACCAAGAAACTTAAATTCGTATCTGGAAACACGATAGTGTCTCGGCGCTAAAAGCCGAAGTGAGACACTGCCGCGTTCCTTATAATCACAGCGCTCAATGTTACTAATAAAATGTTACGACAATACTTATTAATTTTATTTTTTCTTACAGCCAATATATATTTCGTTAAATTTTGTACAGATAAAATGTAAAACGTTTTAGTAAAATGAGACTGTAAGAGAGTCATCTCAACTATAATATGTACATACATACATTGCCACTGTAATGAAGATATCATCATTGTGCACCTTAAAGTATTAATTTTGTTTACTATTTTATTATAATGTAAGAAGCGCAAGCTATTTTTATTTTATAAGACAAATATCACAATAAACTCTACTTTTGTTATGTAGCACCGTTATTATTATTATTATCATTGTCGTGATTATCGGAACGTCGATACTTATTAGTACAAATATATGTGTTAGGTGTAATCGAAAAATTTTGTAAAAGACGTTCAATTATAGTAATTATACTCTTGCTAGAAAAGAATTAAATTCAAAATTAATAAAAAAGATAACCGAGAAAGACAACTGTATTTATTGAATTTTATCTCTCTACGTTGATTTATATTAAAGCCATATGCGCACGTGTATATTGTATTATTAAAATTAAAATTTACTATAAAATTATTAAAATTCGAAAAATACTTTTCCCAATTAGATATTAGAATTAGATACTTTCCATCGGTCTACGGTCGTACTACAAAATGGTTTTTTTTTCGCTATTCCTCACGTTACGAATAAAAGATATGTTAAAACGAAACATTGTAATGGATATTTCTCTTTTTTTTTTATATAAAAAAAAAACGATTTTATCAAAATGATGTTAATATCCTAAATTTTTCTACATATTTTTGTTGTAACTTTTCGTTTTCTATCTTATCTCTTTTCCCTTGCTCACTATGGACAATTCCGTAAAACCCGTAAATGCAGAATCCTAAGAATAAAAAATTGAAATGTAATATTTGATTTAAGCCTTTAGATTAGTTTTAGTCGTCTTTGAATCGCATAGTACATTTTTTCATGCTTTTTAATTTTACTACAGGACTTACCAATCAACAACCAAGTGGCGAATCTAATCCATGTAAAGACGTCTAGTTGTAACATTAAATATGTGTTTATAAAAATACTGAGACACGGAATAAGCGGAACGAGTGGTACCTACAGCAAGATATTATAAAAATATGTTAAACTGATCAGACTTTTCACGCATCCCTGTTATTATATATTATCATAGAATGTAAAACAATCGAGCTTTTTACAATTAGTGTATGTACAATTAGTGCTGCGCGCACATTCCTTTACCTTAAAAGACAATTCAGTCTTCTGCACCGGTTGTCTACCAATCGCTGCTAAATTCAAGAAAAGAACAATCGCGAGTGCACTTAACGTCACAGATATTACCATATTTCCTGCAAGCAAGTGCGCGCCCATGTTACTAATCAGAAACGTGATAATACATATAATGATACCTGAAACGATTAAACTTTGCAGATCGGAGGAATTACTTGACATGTCTTAAAATATATGTGTGTGTGTGTGTGTGTGTGTGTGTGTGTGTGTATGTATATATATATATATGTATATATATGTATAAAAATATTGCATTTACTGTAAATATATAAATATTCTAATTTGCTCATATTCTAATAACTCACAGAGGAAGGCAATGCCGACATTTGCAATTTTGTTAGAAAGTTCCGTTGGTTCTTTCCGATTTTGCAAATTGAATAATTCCTTAAATATATTTACAGGTGTAAGTTGATAATTGCTCGTTGGTAATATCACAGAAACGTTGCTAGAATTTTCTTCTTTTTGATATCTATAAAAATGTATACTTCCTACTAATTTTGATTAATTTCACTTGATATGATTTATAAATATTTACAACTCTCAATCTCGATCAATCATCAAATGTTACCTCAATATCAAAACGCATATCGCTACTATCGTATACGCAAGCAGAGTCCCGATAGACATCATATCGATCAATTGTTGCAGATTGAAGATGAGTGTCATGAGACCTAAAATGCAGAATAGTATCTACGTTAAATATTAAAATAATTAAATGTCAATAAGTTGTTAGACATTTATAGGTATGTATGTACAGGTATGTATGTTGCGCGCCTCGATTATCTGATTCTGATCCGATTGCTTCTAAATCGCTGCTAAACGTATGCACCCCCCGAGACTCTGGTACTATTATATACATACCGATAAGTAAACCAGAGAGCACTGTGCCGTAAATAGGCGTCATTGTCTTGGGATGCACCGTGGAGAGAGTCTTGAATATTATACCATCGCTAGCCATGGCGTACAATACGCGCGGTAAAGGAAACATAGCGCCCAAGAGACTAGTGCAGAGCGCGAATATCGCGCCTATGTTGACGATCCATTTGACGACGGGCCAGCCGATCTCGTCGAACGCGTGTGGAAACGGCGCGTCCGCACTCTAAAGACGAATATTCTCATTTGAATTCTTCAAACGATCTATAGACTAAGAAAACCTTCCAACGAGTAGTTGATCGAAAATGTTAAATTGCTTTCGCAATAATTGTTACTATCTTACACTTTATAGAGAATGGTTATTATAGGTATAATATATGATATAGACTATATTATACTCACCTGAGCATAATAAGGCAGCATCATCGTTAGGACTATGGAGACACCAAAGTACGCTATAAATATAACAATGAGGGATAACACGACCGCAAGAGGAATATGACGTTGAGGATTCTTGGCTTCTTCGCCGGTAGTAGCGACCGCATCAAATCCCACGAATCCGTAAAAACACTTGGCCGCTCCGACCATCACTCCATTCATGCCAAACGGCATGAATCCACCAGTTCCTCCATTCTTCACAGTATCTGGAATATCCTCGGGTGCGATTGACCAGTTTGATGGGTTCGCTAGAAGTATATATTCGATTAGAAACATATATATAATCCGTTAGGAGCTACACACACACACACACACACACACACACACACACACACACACACACACACACACACAGCTTCAGCTTTATATGCTAACAATGACTAAGCTAACAATTTAAATTTTTTAATTAAGACGAGAGATTTTATACATCTTTATAGGTATTTAAAAACACACACCGCGCGCGTGCGCACGCACATACATATATCTATACATACATACGTATTTGAAATAATGTATGCCATCGTTTTTCGAATCATATCGAGACTAATATATGTATAATGATTGATATGCGTGGCGCGGCTTAACTTCAAACTTATATATTTTAGTCTTTTAGAGGGTGCGTCCAAACTATATCGAGCCACGAGCATTTCGGCTAACTTTCATTGTTTTTTTGCCGAGTCGCTCTATAAGGGTGCATAAATTGTGACTTACCTTTCATCGATCCTGCGACGATGACGATCGTGATAGTTATCAAGTTTATAACAGTAAAGATGTTGTTTAAGATGGACGATTCCTTCACACCGATGCATAATAGCACCACTAGTAACATGACCATCGCGAAAGCGAAAAAGTCAGGATACTCTGATAAGAAAGAAACATCGATAGGCATAAGAGAGCGTAGAGCATTTCCCATGACATTTCCTATTAACGCGTCGATATAACTGCTAAGACCTCGAGCAACGCTCGCTGTGCCTATAAAATCATTTTAAAACGTCGTTTTACTTATATATGTATGTAGATAATTAGGTATACATGTTATCATTACGCCGCGCCGTTACGCTGTCATTAATATCTGCGACTGGCCTTTCTCGCCGCGCATTCTGCGTGATTTCCGATTTTTCGCCAATCATATATTTCTCACCAATTACATATTCCAAAATTAAGTTCCATCCTATGACGAAGGCGATGAACTCGCCTACCGTTACGTAACTATAAACGTACGCTGATCCGGCTTTTGGCACTCTCGACGCGAATTCCGCGTAACACAAGCCTACAAATATACAAGTATATATAATTATATTATAACTACAGCTTATCCAAATAGCAACGCTTGTAATAAAGCGCTAAAAAAAAGAGATTATATGCATTTTTTATCGCTTTGTTAATGCTTCGTGTAAACGCTGTGTGCTACACACATACTTGAGTACCCTATAAGCGCATAATATTATTTGATATTAAGTAATATTTTAGACATATTCTTAAAATATTAAATGTAACATTTTAAGAATATTGTACCAAAATTATATAATATTGAGTAATATTCTCGAAATATTAATGGAAGATTATATGTCCACTCCTGATAATATTGCATAATTATTAAAAGTAATTATTAATGTTATTTAATGGTACTGTAATATTGTATAAACATTAAAAAATATTATAACAAAATTTACTTTAATTTGTAAAACTGTTACAACTGTTTAGTATACGTTTCATGTGACACATTATATATACATATATTGATTAATCATCACGTTATTTTGGCACCTTGTCATCAAGCCTTAAAATTGTATCCGACTCTTCCCGATCAATATGATATATATGTGTGTGTAATGTACACAAGTATGTGTAAATGATTGTGTGTGACAACACACTGATTTGGTTTAATTTACCCGCGAAAGCAGACGCGATAGCAGCTATGAGGAAAGATACGGAAACGGCAGGTCCAGCCGTCTCTTTGGCGACGCTACCGGCAAGGACGTAGACGCCTAAACCGAGGGTCGCACCCACGCCGAGTGCAGTCAGATCGAATAAACCGAGGACCCGTGCCAATCGTTCGCCGTTCGTATCTTCATTCTCCAGTTCTATACGCCGTCGCGACAACGCTTTCCACAAACGACTCGTCATATCGCACGGATCCGGGATCTTCTTTCTCTGCTCAACTCTGCTGCAGCGTACTAAAGCTAAAATGTGCGTGAATGTCAACGTCAATTATGTCGCGTATACTATATATCATTCGTAATCATTCGTTAATCAAATCAGACGTTATTTACGAAACATTATTTACAAAGATTATTCGGCATACCACGTTAATTAATTAATAGCTAGCTTTTTTAAGATTAATCCAGACCGCTGAGATAGCTCAAGATACCGCTCTCTGCTGTAACTTGCAGTTTGTCGATATTGTAGCCTACAATTTAAACTCATTTTAATATAAGGATTTCTGCATGTATAATGTGTTGTGAAAAGGTTTTCGGAGCTCTAGTACAAAAGTAATTATAAAATGACCGGAGCCCCTTCATCAATTTTTTATAAATTTAGTGCACGTATATAGGATGTTACATCAAACTTTTTGACACACGTTGCTTGTGGACAGATACACAGAGGATTAAACTGCAGAATAGATTCAATAGTCCTCTACCATTTTACAATTTTCGCAATTATTTGCTTTAGTTTATTACCTAATCAGCAGAATGTCCAAAATCAACATATAAAAGATTTATACTTTAAGATATTATACATATATCTTTAAGAATATTCTTCAAGAAATACCAAAAAATTCTGAGATAGAGATATCTTGAAGTTATCTAATGCGTCGACTATATCCGCTTCACTTCTTTAGAAATTAATATCTCGTTAACTATCATAAAAATTGTAATACTAATGATAGAGGATGTTTCAACTTGTTAGTTCGGTTTATTTACCCAAGCGGTGTATCAACAAGTTTTTGGACACTAACCAAGTTTTGGTATACATATATATTCATATTAAGATCTTTACTTTTAAAAGTTATTATATGAGGATAATTTTTTTAATATTGTTCTATGGTATTATAAAATTTTAGGTCAATCAAATAATATTAACATATATGTATATGCCACATCCGATTTCGATTCCTCCCATCCCATTTATAGGTATAACATGGGGAAGTGAGGGAGGGGGAAGAATGAAAGTATTTTACAGTTAATTGTTGCATTTATTGTTATCATAATGAACTATCGAATAAGCAATATCTCGTTTACTGCACTCATTATAAATCATTTATATAAAAATTTTAGGACATAATAAGACGATATTAAAATATGCTGCGTTTGAATGAAATTTCTCTCATTTGTGTTTTATCCATATATTGTACGACATATTGTACAACCGCATTGCAGAAAATATTTGACTCACAGATTGAAATCATTAATAATAACCGTTTTTGTTGATACTTTTTATTCATTGTATTCTTCGTTGCTTTTGAGAATTTTTTGTGATAATTCTGAATGATCTGAATGAAAAATTACAAATTAATCAGCGCGCGCGATATGAGATTAAGTTAGAAAAAATAATGTATTAGGTGTTGGAATTAATTCGTAGCGTTTTACAAGTGATGGGAAGTACTTTCATTAATGTATTTTTTAATGCTCATGTGAAATAAATAACATTCTTTCATTAAAAACGCTACGAATTAATTCCAACACCTAATAATTATTTAATTTTGAAGAAAAAAATCGAAAAAAATCAAAGCTAAGAAACAGATATTTTTGCGTACAGTTATCTATCCGTGTGATAATGTGTATACAGCGGCAATGTTTTGTTTAGAATCTAATACCGTTGCACATATGTCACAGATGATTTTTTAACCAACGCTTATATTAGTCAAACACTTTACGTTTATACTTAAAAAACTACTTTACGAAAAAAATGGCTTGCACTTTAATTACTTAATTTTTCATGAAATTTCGCGCCGCATTATTTTCGAATTTTTAGATCTGTGAATTTTTTTTTCAAAATTACATAAAATTTATTGACGAAATCTTGTTTCTAAATTCCATAAAATTGAAAATTGATATTTTTTTGCAATATTTTTGTCTTATTTTGAAGCGCTGCAATTTAATGAAATATCATCAGACAAAATTTAATATAAAAGTACTTTACAGCACAAAAGTTGCAACATTGCAGCAATATTGCATGTTGCAGCAATATTGCAGCGATATTGCTGTAAGTTCTGTGTTGTATGGATAGACGGTTTAAGCTTTAAAATCTTTTTTAAAAAAAATTGATATGATGATTTTTCGGATATCGAATTTTTATATAAAATGTTATTGTGTGGAAACTTTCTTTATCGACGGTCAGAGTTTTTTAAAAAATTAAAAAAAAAATTATACGAATCAAGCGCATTATAACAAATATTTTTCTTCTTTTGTCTTTTTCCTGTAAGTTTTTTAATTTCAAAGTAAAAAAACATTTTTAAATTAATTATTTTAAAAGAATTATTTTCTCAAGGCATATATTATATATAATATATTTATATGTTCACATCGAAAGAATTAAAAACGTATAAGAAAAATATAAATAAAGAATTATTTATCACTGCATTGAATGGCTCTCTCGGCCATTATTTACTACACAAGAACTCGAATAATGTCAATCCAAATAATAATTATTGCTCGTTAAATTGCCTAACAATCGTTGTTCGGTTATAAACGAAAGATCATACAATATCCATTAAAATACTAAAGATATAATTCCATTAAATTTAAATTATTGCTTGATTTGAAATTAAATATAATTTGGATACGCGAAATTAATTTGGACAGAAACATTAAAAAATAGTTATATCTTATATTTAACAAAAATGTCAAAGTCCCTTTAACACTTATAGAGATGCAATATATTCGCCGCACTTTCTACTCCCCCTTTCCTTTAAATTCTGATTTTTTTCAAATGGAATTATTTTATTTCACATATATCAATATTTTGCGTTGTATTATGTGATTCAAGGAAACTGACATTCTCCCTGTAAGAATTCTTGCAAAACCTTGCAAAAACATGTTCACCGCAAAATGGCAATTGTGCAACGATAAAATCTCGAAAGAGGATAAGAATCAGGAAAGAATAGCCAAAGATATTAGAATTCGAAAAAGAACATTAGTTCTTCGTTTTCAATATTTTACGCAATAATGAATTTCCATTTATTAAAATTTCAATTATATTGTCGACTATTTTATAACAATAATTTTAACATAATAAAATTATATAGGATTTACCATTAACCGACAGTTTAGTCAAAAAGTCAAAAAGAGAAACATCAAATAAACTTAGAGAAGGTAGGTAATTTAATTGAGAGATATCTTTCAATTTTTATACGTGGAAATAATAAGGTCGCGCAAATTCTGTTCGATTAAACGTTATCGTCGCGATGTATTGTATGTACGTACGTACATTCATACGTACGACTGCTCGCAACCTTGATGCCACTTTCACTCCGTTCACTTATTTCTCCATACAATCATTCCATTCGATCTTTACCCAAGATTTTGAGCACATTAGCATATAGTTTAATTAATATTAAAAATAAAACGATAAAATATAAAAAAGAACAAAAGAACATATATTTATCTCTCTATAATCAATTATTACGCTAAAATTGCATTTTAAAATCCATATTACAAAATTTTTATAATTTAAAATATTTAAATTTATATTTTCTGAAAAATTTTTTTTTATACAGTATCATTGTTGTCGCAAATGAACAATTATTATTATCGTGTTTTCAAAAAGCAATATGACATCCTTTCTACAATACGTGAAAAGGATCTTATCTTTTAATAGCCATCAGTGCTGCAAAATGTAATCTTAGTCATTATATGATCGTCGTCATTATCAGTTTTCATGCTCAAATCGGATTGTAAAAATGCTTGGTAAAAGATTGTAAATAATTATTAAGAATTCTTAATTCTACGTCATAAAACATGTATCACTGGTAACTATGAATAGACGATAAAGGAATACAGAATACGGAAACAATTTAATAAATCTATAATGATAAAAAATGATAACAAACAGAATGATTGACAACTTTTTTTTTTAAGTGTTTTATGTGTAACAAGTTTTATGTATACACTATATTCTTAATTATGTTTCTAAATATCACACCGTTATTTGTATCGTCGTTTTCATTGTAGATGAGGAATTACACCGAACTCTAATGCTTATTCTTGCGAATGATAATTTTAAGAACAACGCTACAGCAAAATTGCAATTATCCTTTGAGTGCAAAATTATATTATATTTTTTATTGAAGCTCGATAATTCATGGTCGATAATCATACAAAATTATAAAATCAAGTAACGCACAAGCCTTTTGCTTTTACGCTCATGTATATACGTATGCACACGCACGCACCACGCACATGCACACATATATATAACGAACTCGCCTTGAATCAAAGGCATTTAAGTCAAGAGAGCAAATATTTACGAACTGTCTCTTACACTTGACTTCACATCAGGAATCGTGCGCGTATTACTGTACTAGTCTAGATCTCTAAATATATTTAGGATCAGGCATCAGATTGTACGCGCGCGCGCGTATAAGAGAATGCCCTATCCTATGTAATTACTTCCTTCCTTCCCTCCCTCCCTCCCTCCCTCCCTCCCTCCCTCACCCTCTCTCTCTTTCTCTCTCTCTTTCTCTCTTCTTTCTTTTTAGTTATATATCTCTCAATAAAATACAATATATAAACTTTATATATATTCTGAACAAATGCCACAGAAAACTATTTTGTTAGAAAATCATTAATCAAGATAAACTATTAAAATTAATGACAAAGAAAATAATCAAGTCATTTTTATTGTACACTTTTAATGTATATACTAATAATATATAATTTACACTATATTTTTACCAACTCTTTATTTAAAACCAAGACAAAAATCAGAATAGTATATATTTCTTTGCCACTAAAAAAATCTTACGTATTAGCTTAACCTCAACGATATTTATTTTACATATGCTGTTTGTTTTTAATGTCTGCAGCGCGATATAAAATGTAATTTTAAATTAAAAAAAAAAATAATTTAATAAACTTTAAATCCGTTAAGATTTCTTATCTTATGTGTACGCGCGCTCGCGTACGTACGTGCGTGTGTATGCACATATATATTATAATGCTTTTTAAATAAAAATAATTGTCGTCGTGCAAACAATCCTGCACTTAGACGATTTACTCAAACATGAAACAAATTTAATATTCTTTCCAGAAATCATATTATGATGAGTTTATATATAAAATTTTCCTATGAAAAATGTTTAAATAGTTATTAAATGTAGTTGTTTAATGTTGCCGATAATTACCAACAATGAGTATCGACAATAATTTCTGATTCCGCATCACCTATCCAAGGGCGTGTACGGATTCCCATCCGGATGTTCCCCGGGTATCATCCTTGTTTAACATTAAACAACAAGGATGAAGTGATACATCGGATAGTAGTACTCGGATGGGAATCTGACCATAGCACAAGAATATTTAGTTCGTAGCTATACCTCTTCAATATAGTTATACAATCGGCTATACAATCCGACACACTTGGATATCCGTTTTTATTCAATTCATTCATAATAGAAACCTTGAATCATTAGAAATCAAATTAGCTTTATCCAGCTAATCCAGATTTATCAATAATATAATTTTTTATCGAAGCTATAGTCGATTAAAAATACTGATATATTAAATTATACATTTTTTCAAGATAAAAAAAAAGAAGAGTATATAAAAGTCCATTCGCGTGTTAAATTGGTAATTTTAATTAGACATAAATTATCCGTTGTTTTAATTTCTGAGAAAAATTATAATGTAAAATTATAATGCAAGATTTCATATAACACGAAAGACAGTAATGAATCAAAAGCTATCGAGGTTTAAAGTTATTTTAATTTAATGTTACATGATACACGTATTTTCTGTACCTATTTCTATAATTCTAAAATATGTTTTAAAAACCGAGGCTTTATAAATATTATCCATATTTAGAATATTTAGAGGAATATGTACGTTTGACTTTGCTTGACATTGATTTATATATTTTATCTAGAAAAGAAGCTTGCAACTACATTATGTATAAATGTAAATAATTCAATGTTATAGTTTTCTCGACGTTATTATCCATTCTTCAATGGCTATGTAATTGTCTTCCATTAACTGTGTGTCTGCGTGCGTGTGTGCGTGTGTTTTTACGTGTGTGTTTGTGTGTGTGTGTGTGTGTGTGTGCACGTTTACGAACAACATGCATAAACATTTATGCATAAAATATGTGACAATATTTATATTCTACCGACTATCAATATTATAAGAATCTTTCAACGTACTTTATGGGAACAATTGACAAATAATAATAAACAATTAGTAAAACAGATTTCTCTGACATTGATTGACATTAAAATGATCAAATACTTGTCATGATGTGATTGAATAAACAAGCTTACCTTAGTTTGATGATATGTATAAAATAGGAATATTAATATGTACACAATATTAAATTTAATCAACATAGGATGAATAATGTGAATCAAATTGCTAATGCGTCAATCGTACTCAAGAACTGATTGCTTCGGCGGACAACCGCAAATTAATAACGTACTATAATTTTACAGTAACCACTTTCCACCTGTCTATGTAACAATAAGCTTCAATGTTCCCCCACTATACTATTGAAGTAGGACATTTGCGTAGCGTTAGGAGTCGCTGCGCTAACTTGTTATCGCAAACTTCCAGTCACATATCAGATGCTCGGAGATTCTTTCTCTCTCTCTCTCTCTCTCTCTCTCTCCTCGCCCTCTCTTCACACTATTTTTGCACAAAATATATACCTTATTTCGTTTTAGATGGAATCGTCAAAATATATTGGCAATACTCTTTACCCTTTTTATTATGTAATGTATAAATATTGTGTGTGTGTGTGTGTGTGTGTGTGTGTATATATATATACATACATCCATATTCTCAAATAATTTACAATTAGTATCGTTAACGTTGTAGGTAGGTAATCTGTATACAAAGAAAATTTTTCTTTTTTTTCTATAAAAATGTCTTTAATATTTTTAATCTGGAACAAATGCGCTCGCGCAAGTAAAATGCATCTATTTTATCGCAATGTTCATATGTATTTATACAAATTTTCTTCCTATATAAATAAATATACTTTTCAAGTATACCATTTCATGATCTATCTGTAGACTCTCTTTTTTTATATGTTTCGGGATTTATTGCACAACCAGGACACGTGTGCAATATCTCATGAATAAAAATCTCACAGTCTAAACAAAACATTTGATTACATTTTCCACAGGCATATACCTAAAAATAAATACATATAATATGCTTGCTATCTAAAATATTCAAATGTATTAGGTGTTGGAATTAATTCGTAGCGTTTTTAATGAAAGAATGTTATTTATTTCACATGAGCATTAAAAAATACATTAATGAAAGTACTTCCCATCACTTGTAAAACGCTACGAATTAATTCCAACACCTAATATATATATATATGTATATATATCTTGGCAGATTAAAAAAAAACATCTCGTCTTTGATCAAATTTAATTTGTTCAATTTATCACAAACTTGGATAATTTTCTAATCTCTAGTATTAGTATAGAAGAGGAATGACAGCCATTACCTTTTTATCCTTTTGAGCAAAAGCTTTTTGGCAACCAAAGCAGATAGTATAATCACTATCAGGTGCAATTTCTTTAAAAGGATCAACAGGAAATAGATAGTGATATGATCGGGCTAAATGTGGAGCGGATACTAGAGTAAGACCGCAAGCTCTACATTCCACAGGTAGCTCACAATGTTTACTGATGCACTGGGGACAAAGGTAGCCGGTAGTCATAAATTTAACTGTTTCATCAGAATTGTGTGCGTGGCTGTAAAGATTAAAGAAGAAAACACGCGCAAATATTACGCGTAAAAATAAAGTCAAAATAAAGTATTGGAACATATTATTCTGATTTGCATACTTACCACATACATACTGTTATAGATGTATCTGGTGCGTTAGAGTGTAGAGCGTGATGAGGAAATCCCATTTTCACAAGCGCTGCATCTAATCGCGTTGCAGCAGGCGGAGGATCTATATGTGCATTCAATTGCTCCTTGTAATGTTTATCATCGAGCGCAACGCTATGTTCGCCACCGGTAATATTTGCCATTCGTTTACAGATGTATAATTCAGCGGCCAATCCTATTACGCTACATCTAATACTGTCCAATTTCATATTCTAAAATAAATACAACATTAAAAAAAGATAGATTTTCGAAGAAAACGAAAAACACAGAAATTAAAGCATACTCTTATTGTTTCGTTGATATCTCCAGGGTCGCATGTAGTCAAAGCTCCTATAATTACCAATATTTCTTTACTAGCGTGCGACGGTAATAATTTCAATAACTTTGTTGCCAATTCTAAAGAATTTTGCAAAGAAGGCTCACCGCCTACTACAGTTTGTTGCAAAATTTGCAATTCCTATAAAATAGATGACAAGATTACGATATAAGACAAAACGAAATATTCCAGATATGATAAACAAAACGAATAATATATAATAAAATAATTACCTTAATGTGCTTCTTTGAGTTACCAGCCAAATCGCTAATTTTCTCAGCCCTTTTATTTCTAGTTATAATTACACCTAATTGACTTATAGGATTTTGATAGAAAAATTCTTCGATAAAATCTTCTAGAAGCTTAAGATAAATACATTTAAAAAATATATATATATACATATATATATATATATATATATATATATATATATGTACATTTTGTATGTGTATATGTGTATATATGTACACACACGCATGCACGCACGCACACAGGATATTCAAAAATGGTCGAGTATTTCTTCGAGAGGATGACGTTTTTAAAAGAAGTGTTTCAGACAAAAGTTGTAAGATAATAAAAAGATCTCTTTACAGATCTTATTAGGTGCCACCTTGGGTGGCATTGCCAAGGTCAGATCAAGATCAAATTGATTTTTTTTTAATGGGATATCCTATTTTTGATGCCAGAATCTAATAGCTGGTGTCAAGAACTTTTCAAAACACTATAATAAAGTTATTTTTCATTAAATACTTTTCGAAGTATAAGGCTTGAAAGTTACAGTATCGCTGGCATTAGCATTGCGCAAAGTGTCCGACCGATGGTCCGACCTAAAACCTCTAATATTTGTTAAGATCAAGGCCATTGGAGATTCCTTTTATTTTTGTTTTTACACTAAAAATTCATTTTTACGTAAAAAAAAGTATTTTGAAAAAACTCTTGACACCAATTATTAGATTCTGACATCAAAAATAAGGCGTTCCATTTTTAAAAATCAATTTGACCTTGACCTGACCTTGACGATGTCATCCAGGTTAAACTGATAAGATTTGTTTGAAAAGATTTTTTTATACCTTGCAACTTTTGTCTGAAACATTTCTTTTAAAAACGACATCGTTCCGAGTAAATCCGAAGTCCTGACCTTTTTTGAATGCTCTGTATAATACATTGTTATATTATACATGATATTTTAAATCGCGCGCATATACAGGATGTCCACAAAGATTGGAGCCAAACTTAGATAGCGTGTTAATGAGATTGAATAGATGAAAAAAGTTCATATATAAATTTACTCCAAAAATGCTTCATTAAAAAGTTATGAATGTTCAAAGATGTAACAAACAGATTCGTTTTCTATGACTCGTTATATATTGATAAGAATAATTTTACATGTCTACGGATTAAATCAACTGTTGGAATAAATATTTGAAAAGTTTTCCCTCTGCAATATGCAAGCTTGCATTCATTCAATTAATGACTTTCCAATTCTTTCAAATATTTCTACTTCATAAAAAATAACAGTACTTAAATGTGCATTTTAAATATATTCTCAAAATTAGTTTTTTATTTCAATAAGATCCCCATAAATCAACAGTTTTGTAACAGTTTTTAATGTACAACCTCGTAAATAAAAGTCAAAAGGTATTAAAATCTGATTATGAGCTAAGAGACAAAATTGATCCATAGCCAATCACCGATCCATCCAACGCCAAAGGAATTGTTGATTAAAAAATTCATTCTCTTCAAAATAAGGAATGCGTATCATGTATATAATCACATGACTTACATAACAAGTTATAGAAAGCAATTCTGTTCTGCTTGTAAATTTTTAAATGTTTGTAACTTTTGTAATAAACTTATTCCAATATAAATTTCTATGAACTTTTCTCATCAACTCAACCTTATTAACATAGTTTGGTCCCATTTGTGGATATTCTGTAATACAGGAGAAAGAATGTATAGATGATACATATATTCTTTCATTATACCTTTAGAGAACACAGAAAACGAGTTGGTTTCAAATCTTGATTAGACATTGATTCCGAAGCATCTAAGATGATATAAAGATGCCTCATCATTCCTAATCTGGCACCCTGTTTTCTTTCCAACTGACGTTTTCTCTTGGCATTATGAATAATATCTGCGACAGAGGCTTCCAACAGACCATGGTCATCTTCCTTAATTGCTTCCCTAGATTCCAAATAAGTACATACAATTGTTAAGAATTATTGTTACATTATTGCATCGATACTACATGGATATAGAATTTTTATCTAGATCAGAGTACCATATTAAATGTACATGGATGTATAAACAATATAAAATCCATACCATGTTTTTTCGTAACCAGTTTCCCAACGGTACTCCTTTTCCTCAAATTCTTCTTCTGCCATTATCTAGATAAAATATATTCTATGTATAAATGTATAATAAAAAAATATTATTAGAATAATGAAAAGCAAAAGATAAGAACATCTTAAAAACTATATGCATGAAAATACATGTGTACATACGGTGTCCTATGTAGTTCAATGTAGTTATTTGACTCACTTGAAAAAAATATTTGTTCACTTTACAGTTTGTTTTATATTGCACAAACTCGCATAAATCTTTGAAGAATACTAGGTGCTTACCATTGCGATAACACAAATCGATACAAGTCGATACAAGCGTCGTTTTATCCTTGTTACATTCAGAGAGTTGTGTCGACTTATGACTTGTGTCATCACAATGGAAAGCATCCACTATCATCGGATTCTACGTGATAAGAAAAATAAGACGATAATTTCGTCACCATGCTATGTTACAGTTGTCTCTGCATTGGAAATGAAATGAAATGAAATGAGATGTTGATAGAAAAAAAAGGAAGACGAACAAGAGAAAATAAAAGTACAGAGAACAGCGAATCTTGCATGAGAAGTTAAAACAGACAAAAATTTGTAAAAATTTGATTCTAAGAATGAAATGTGAATGGAAAGTCAAGCTCGAAAATTTGAAACGTAAAAGCGATGCATCTCACGCACCGAATATTGCACATGAACCGGTAAAACACCGTAGAGTTACTTTACAGTTAGTGGAGTTGCATCAATCTAAATTCTAACTAGTTAACACCCCACAAGGAGAGTTTACGACAATTTGAGAACGGAGCAAAGAGTATATTTCATTTTCAAAGAATAACGAGAAAGGTTGAAATTGAAAAATGCCGAACGAAAAGCCGTTCCGATTGTTCCCGATTGTTCCAACTCAATCCAACTACAGTACTTGGTTGGGTATGCCAGGGACGCCAGGGACACCAGGGACGTCCAGGGACGCCAGGATATGCCTGGGTAAAATCCAAAGTTTCAGAGGATAGATTTGATAGGTTACCCGCGAAAATCCCCGCTCCGGATAGGTCGAGACAAATCGTGGTGGGTTTGGGGAAAGAATGAGAAAAGTTGAGAAAGGAAAGGGCAGGAAGATTACGGATCGCGATATATTCGCGATTGTTCGCGATTGATCGCGGTGCATCGTGGGTGCGGATCGCGGGCAAGTCGGAGCTGATCGGAGCACTCGGAGCTCGGAGCATGCCGTAGCATGCCGGGAATGCCAGGCCAGGATTGTCGGGTAAGTGAGTAAGTATAACGTAACATAACGTAATGTAACATACGATAAAACGTCTGGTCTGACTGGATAATGGATATGAGCCATGAGGCGAAGAAAAAAGAGGACGGGAGGGGGGTGTGCCGGGCGGCCGCCATCAGGCTGATCAGGCATTAGCCGCCATGGCGCTGAGGGCGCCACTGTCGGCCGACGCGATCGCTTATGGTTGCTGTTTTCGTCCAGTCTTGTGCGACAACGAGCCATTTTCCAGACTAAGGAAAATCCAGCCGTTCGTCAGTTTCACCGTATGTAAGTGAGCATTGTTGATTCGCTTTCGCGACCGCACGTTAATCGCGATCCGAGATTTCGTCAAGTGTTCAGAAAGCGTTCATGTAAAGACAGGAAGTGAGTAGTTTGTACAAAAGTACAGATCGGTGACGAGAGCCATCTTTGACGAGCATCGGCTTGTTCGTGAGAGACAGTGGAGAGACGACGAGTTCGCATCGACGACCAACCACAACCGCGGCAGCGGCGACGACGACGACTACGACTACGACTACGACTACGACTACAACACGATAATAGCGACAACGACGCAAACAAAAACGGTAACGACGATAAAGAAAACGGCGCCAATTATACCGGCGCCAATCTCTGGACACCGGTCTCTCGAACATTACGATCGAAAGATAGTTGTCTCGCTCGTTATTAACACGAGACGTGAGATAAGGCTGCGCGCGGCGTCCATATCAGTCCATACCCTCGTGGCGCGGGAACAATTGCGCGGCGAGTCACAAAGTCAACGCTCGGCGCGAGTGTCGTCCATAATTCACACATTCGCGGCAATCGTCACTGGCCCCGTTTACAATCACCTTGTGTCCCACAGTGTTCAGTGTCGCACGCCCAGTCTCCACGCTTTCATTTAACGTATATACACACACACACACACACATCACATCACATCACATCATATCACATCACATCACATCACATTTCATTTAAATGTAGAGTAAACGATGGTCTTGAACATTCTTCCTCACATTAGCTCCACAATAGCTCTGCACGAGTGTGCATATGAATCGGCGTGGTAGAAGCGCGAAAATGCCTTTCTTGAGAAGAAAAAAAAAGAAAGCAGATATTTACGATCACCAGCGTTCTTCGTCCTTGCGCTGTGCTTCGATTTTCTCATCGTCAAACGTGAAATTTTGACTTTACGATGTAGCGTACCCCGCTCCCGTTTTCATCATTTTCGCGCCAAGCAGGCCAGACCTCTCTCCCCCCCCTCACACTCTCTCTCTCTCTCTCTCTCTCTCTCTCTCTCTCTCTCCTATTCAATTAATTCGCGTCAGAAGAGTTCGATCCGACGTTTCTCTTTTTCCCTCTGTCTCTTGTCTTCTCTTTCATTGTCCAAAAATCCATCGTGTATACCAAATAGAAATTTCTTATTCATTCTTGCTGTAAAGGTCATTACACATACAAAAATTATAATCAAGCAAATTGATCAATCACAAAATTGCGATCTCACATTTTAAAATTTTTGTATGTGTAATGATCTTTACTGTTTAACGATACTTTAATGCTCTTATTTAATTTTTAGAAAAGGGATTGTGAGACAAGAATCGTATACAGAATGGAGGGAGACGATGGCCCTTCAGCCATCGGTAATAAACCCACCGTTATTAAAGGTAATCGTTACGTTGATTTTTATGTATTTTCTGTCATCTCATCATTTGGAAATCGTAATATTTGACTTGTTTTTTTATCCTTTTTTTTATACTTAAAAGAGTTAAGGTAAGATTTTTATTTTGCGGAAGATGACATAATAAATATTTCACACTTTAATGCTCGTGCTTCGCTTGCAATTGCTTTTCTACTTCACCAGCAGCACAAGAAGAAATGGGACGATTAGATGTACTGGTATGTGGACAGTGTCATTCTGTCTTTCATTTTGTCGAAGAGTTTCAAGAACATCGCACAAAGGAGGGAGCCTGCTCCAAAACGTCACGTATTCGTGACACCAACGATGTTTGTATCTCTATACTTTGTACCTCTAGATCTGTATGCAGCACATACAGATTATACAGATTGTAAAAAATTGCTTATTTGAAATGTTCCTTTGATATTTTTAGAATGGACAAAAAGCACAAGTATGGGCGTTTCTATTATGGAAGGATACACAAGTCCAAGACAGTTCAGACAAGGAGGCATCTAATGCGTGGTCATTATATCAGAAATGGTGTAAGATGGATACGAAAGTGAAGGAGGCTTGGGTCACAGCAGGAAAAACTATACAAACTTTTACAAAAATTAGTAACGCAAAGATGCAGGATACCCTGATGCAATCAAATACCAATGTCGAAGGTGATTGGTTTTTTCTTTTTTTTTTTTTATTTAATTTTTTTTTAATATAAAAACTTGTAGAACAAAAAAAATGTTATCTTTATTCTAAAGATTAAACTTGATATTGGCTGCTTCACAGGTGCCAAACCGATAATAGTTCGTAAAGTTGTCAGAAATGGACAACCAGAAGAAACAGGCGAAGCTAAAAAGGATTCTGCAAAATCGCTGGAAACAAAAACGCAGAAAAATGAATCTATGGAAATTGAAGTAGACAAGAAGGAAAAACCAAGACTGAAACCATCGATCAAGCCCAAAGTATTACACTAGTTGATGCCACTTGTTTAACAAAGTACAATACATGTTTGGAATCTGCTTTTATTTATCTTAATATTTTTGTAGATCAAGTCTGGCAAAGCAACTATCGAAGAAGATGCAGACTTAAGTAACGAAGAATATATTGTCGACAAAATATTAGCTAAACGTTTTAATACTAAAAAGAGATGCTCGGAATATTTAATCAAATGGGAAGGCTATCCACAGTGGGTATTCTGTATTAATCGCACATGCATCTTTTTTTTTCTTTTTCTAATAATTCTAACAGTGTCATCTGAATTATTCCAAATTTATAGTGAAAACAATACATGGGAATCTGCAGAGGCTGTAGCAGCATGCAAAAGTTTATTGGATGAATTTGAGCGGAGTCTCGCCAAGCAAAAGGAGTCTAAAGCAGCGCAACAGCATGCTAATACAAAGGTCGTCGGACGTGTGAGTTTACCGCAAAAATCAGTGATAAAAGCTGAGACTAGTCAGCCTGGACCAAGTACTGCGGCTCAAGCAGGGTGAGCAATTTGGCTAGTTTTTAATCAAAAAGTGCAATTACGAAACATTTTTATATTTCTATAAATCACTGATGTTCAATGCGAATTTGCTAATTATTGCATATACGTAGACGCCCGATGCGGTCTAGTAAATCAAAAGCAATGGATCAAGTCAAGCAATGGTGTGGCTCGATGAAAGATGAAGAGAATGAACGTATGTAATTAAATTACTTGTGCACTTGACAAATAGTTAATTTTGCAATCGACATATTTAATATATTGAACGTGTTAAATAACATATTAAACGACATATTAAATACACGCCATTTGAATTAATATTTGTATGTATAAATTTGTAGTGTTAGGTAAAAGGAGAATTGATGATTCGGAGAGTGATTCGGAAGAAGGAGGGAGCAGTGCCGCAAAGAGAACGAAAGGTGACACGGGCAGTGATGACGAATGGACTGGGGAATCTGAAGACGAAAGACTATTGGGCCGTAGCGACGTGATCCAACGTGCATTCAATCGCGCTAATGCACAATCGAATGGATCCAACAGAACCTCGGTTTCATCCACTGATCTGGCAACGTCATTAGGATTGCAATCTCCAGATGGAGCGAAATCTAGCCAACCGCCTGTTTTAGTGGCTAGCGCCAAGGGGGTTGTTAAAGTCGATCCCAAACAAATGCCGAATTTGGCTTCCGGTCTCTACGTTATGTCGCGAAAAGATGGTATCATCAAATTGAATTCGTCCCCCAGTGGGAAACTAGCGGTTAAAGGATCTTCGACGACGCAAGGTGTTGTAATGGTTCAAAATCGAGATAATACAAACGTAATAAAAAAACAAGTAATTTCGACATCGCAGTCAAATTCGATGACTCCTGTGAAAGTCGTTTCGAAAATGGACGGAAGCCAAGTGGTAACGCAGATGAAGGTAGTCACCAAGGCCGTTACACCGAAAATGGGCAACGTGCAGAAGAGCGAACCTATAAAGATACAGCCGAAGCCGGATCCGTCGCAATTGCAGCAGATACATGTTGTGGCTGCAGTGCCAACACCGATAGCTTTGCAACCGAGAATACCTACAAGTGTAAGATCTGCCCCTGTCACACCTCAACGAACGGTAGACGGTCGTCCTTTGCTACCTAGACCGTCATTACGTCCGACAGCGACAACGAGCGTTCTTGGTACAATTCGTACGCCCGTCAGAGCACCTGCACCGAGACAGATTCAGGCGCAAGTGACGCGTCCAGTGTTGCAAAAGCGTACGACGACGGTCGTAAGTACGCAACAGACCGTTTCACCGGTTGTCACAGTGACCGGCACGGTTACACAAATTAGGCCAAAATTCACTGTACTCACAACATCTCCGCAGTCCAAACAGGTAATCAAAACCAGTCCAGTACAACAACAGCAACAACAACAACCACCAACACCATCATCACAACAACAAACAAAACAGTCTTCGAAGACACCAGTAGGTAAGGCACAATCATCATTGTTATCTCCGCAACAAAAGTTATTAATGGTAAAGAGAAAGGCCCAAGAAGCAGCGGGCATAAAACCGGGTGGTCGTGGACTTTTGGCAGGTGCTCGTACCGTTGCGGGACGAGGTAGAGCGAAAATAGGTACCGAAACGCCTTCAGCGATAGGTCAGACAGGAAACAAGCCTCCGAAGGAAAGCAAATTAGCGGAAGGTGACGGACTTCACATGGAATTTCACGAAGTTGGTTCGGAAGAGAGTAGCAGCGAAGATGAATCGGATCTTCCCCCTGCTCCTGAGCCGGATGCTATTACGGCTCCAGAACCTGACAGTCCACCGCGTCCATTTACATTATGCCCTCTCACAGGACGCATAATTGGTCCAGATGGTGAACCGATTGAGCAACCGGATGAACCTGAAACCGGTGAAGCAACAACAAATTCGACTATAACAAAAACGGTTACTAACACGTCCGAAGCTGCGTCAGCAGATCTAACCACGGCTACAACTGTCGTCGCCAACGCCAGTACTGTCACTCCTACACCCACTACAACCACGACCACCGTTACTGCAACTGCCTCTACTAATGCCACCGCCGAATTGGTCTTACCTTCTCTTGACTCGCTCACCGAAAGTGGTGGTATTATGAGAGTAGAGATGAGTCCAGGTGGAACGACTGGCACCATTGTCCAAGACAGTGAAACAGCACAGATTAATCTATCGAATGTAACTATATCTGCGCCAGATTTACCTTGCTTGGATGATACCGCTTCTACAGTAGTAGTGACTGCCGCTCCACAGCCTGTATCCACAGCAACATCTTTGACAGAGACCGTCATTTCTAGTTCCGCTGAAACATCCATTACTACGGTATTGTCGACAGTTCCGGCGACATCTACCGTTACTATGTCAGTGACAACGGCGGATGTCAAGACTGGGGAAAAGATATCGGAGGAGAAAAAAATAACGACGAACGATGCATCCAATCTAGTTACTATAGCCGAACATGGCGTCGTCTATCAAGTCGCGAGCCAAGCCGAGGATGGACAAACCCTCCTTGTGACGCATGGTGCCGATGGCGAGCAGCAATGTGTATATGTCACTACCGAACAACAAGGAGATGATGGATCAGTCTTGACGTTGGATCATGCGGTAGCTGAGGCTGTAGCGCAGTTGATCCCCGATCAAGTAAATCTCACGCCCCAGTTTTATGTAAAGGAAGATGGAGCAGAACCCACGGAAAATTCAATGGTTATGTCTATAATGGATAACACAAATGCGTCCGATGTAAGTGGAACCCAAGAAGATAACGATGGACATAACGAAGGACAGTCCGTTATAGCTCAAGTGGTGCAAGCTGAAGAACCCACTCCAGGTAATAATAATGATCACTTGGTTGCGCTCTCTGTATTTTCAAGTAAAGATTCCGAAATTTTTGTTCAAATTGCTCCTAATGTGAAATATAAACAGTGTATACTGGTAATGACAAAATTATCGAAACTTGTGTATAGAAAGAATGAAATATTTAATACTTTCATCCAATCTCTGATTTTTTTCCCTTTTAGGAGGAACTAGGAGGGTAGTGCTGTTGTTACCGGACGGAAATTTAATGATGACCGAAGTGGATGAGGATCAGTACGCTGCTTTGGAACTTGATAAGTGAAAACGGATATCATTTTGCGCATATGCTAATAAAATACCATGCCAATGCATCGAGTTGCATGTACGCGCATATTGTACGTTTAAAACGTGATCGTGAATTGTATATATGTAAAAACGTTCAACGTTCGTACAATTGCACGTTAATGACGTCTTAATATTCAATGACTAGACTAAATGTTGTAAGACGGAGAAATAGCTGGTATACTGTAAAAAAATCAGCACACACCAAGAAAAAGTTAAATTTTTAGATTAAACAAAAAAGGAATATGTTTATACATACAAACACACATACATGCGTGCGCGCGCGCGCGCGCGCGCGCGCACACACACACACACACACACACACACATACATACATACACGATATATGTGAATGTCTGATTGTAAAACAATTTGCAGACATCTCCATTTTGTGTTAAACTTTAATAATATCGGATAGCACAGAAATATACGAAACACAAAGATAAAACAGTACTTTCAATGCAGTGATTTAGTATGCGCGACAAAGCAAACATTGTATTTGTAGAATAGTAAAATATAATATGGGGTTTTATATTTTCCAATCAATAATAAGCTTTGGTAAAAAGAAATCTTATTCCATGCATACAAAGTCCAAGGTGATGATACGGTATGATTGTCGGACACTAAGGTAAATTGAATCCATCCAATTAAAGCATAAAACATGTAAAGAATATCATGATACTATTTAGCCGAAACAAAAATTTCTTATTCTTTATTTCATCTCAAAGTTGCACAAGAATGGATAAAATGCGAGAATGTGAAATTTTATTCATATTGTCTATAAATTATATTGTCTGATAGGTATGTATGCTGTATTTATTATATGATTGCAACATTTGTTTTATATAACAAATTTAATTGGATGTATTAATATCCGCCACAGATTAAAAGTCTAGTATAACCTTAATCCAACTTTAAACTATAAGAATTTTGATTGACGAAAAATTGACACGAGAAAGAATTTATCAAACGTAATAAATTGTTTTGACAAAGATCATCTCACGCGAATTGAATTCGCATTATATGTAATGCCTTTATATCAATTATAATATTATGTACGACAGCCTTTTAAATGTGCGCTAAAACGCACGTTAATGCATCCCCATCAATTTCGCTATGATACAACCATCACATGGATTGTGTATGCTTATCTATAGAATAAATACATAAGTGCACTCTAATGAAACACTTATAATTTCTGAACCTATAAAGCTTAAAATACAATGTTGTTGAACAGAGTATCAATTTGCGTTCTGTTATTAAACCCGTTCCTACAGTAGTTGCAGGTAATCCTAAGATATTGCAAACTATTTGTAACCGCTACATCTGTCCGTGTCACACTATTCATTGGAGATCGAGCATTATGAATTGAAGATTAGAATTCAGAATAAAATGAATTAAAATTAAAATTATCTAATTGGTCGAATTCTAATTCGCAATTCTCAATCTCCAATGCGTAGTGTGATACAGGCTTTACGCATAGAGTAAAAATTAATTCCGTAAATAATTTATATAACGTATAAATGTAGTGAAATAAATAATTTTAATTCTCACGCAAAATCTATTTGCGATTCCTGCAATGAAAACGAACGTGGTTTCAATTTTTTTTCCTTCTATTAATCTGTTCCTTTCTTTTTTCTTTGTTTTGTTAAAAAGAATTTAAAAAATTAAACAAAAAAAAATGAAAAATGACGTCCCACCGACCATGTTTTATTTTGGCTTCACATATTTGAAAATCGCTGAAATGTGTCATAAATATTATACATAAGTTTGTATTTAGTTCTCAAGTTTTTTCCATTAATATCGCTTTTAATAAATATAAAATTATAACTTTTTACAAGTCAGTCTATTTTCGAAATTTTTTGTTTTATCCTATGATAAATCCTGTTATTAGAAACCTCAATGTACATAATCCTCATGACAAGTTTTTGTGTCAGGTATATTATAAAAATTTCCATTATTTTTTATCATTTTCCAATAAATTTTAAATATATGTAGTTCTCTCTTAAATTAACACCTCAGCATCCATATTCTGTAAATAAAATAAAATAAAAAAAAACAGCGAGGCTATATCATATAATCTATAATATACATAACGTGAACTATAGATTTTCAGTGCAATCGCAGTGAATAACGAAACGCAACCTATATCGTAGTCTTACTGTTTTTTTTATTATTATTATTATAGAATGTATGCGTTGAATGCAGATGGCATTTAAGCAGAGAGCTGCATATATTTAAAATTTATTTAGAAAAAATATCGATAAAAAAACGGTGGAGACACACATATATATATGTTACGTATCGTTAATTCTTTCTCAGGAAAGTCGAATCAACTTTCTCCTCAGTTAGGCCAGAGAGAGGTAACTTAAAGTCAAAATTACAAAAAACAATTTTAATTGCAATCCCTAATTATGTGGAATTTCGCAATTACGAATCGAATAAATTATATCGGGTATATAAAAAAATATAATTTTTTAATACTATTCTATTTCTCCTCTCCTCTGCCTCTTTTAATTCTTCTTCATTATAGAAAGTTATCATGCTACAAAACGTGAGCAATTCTTCGGCTAGATTTCAATTAATGGCAAAACCTAATTATTCTCGATTCACTGTCATGATCGAACCTAAAACACAAACAGGGAATATTTCTCCAGGGATGCATAGAAAATTGATTATTTTCTTTCGTTGTGATGTCTTGGATGAACCTGATGAAACGTTAGTAATAAATGTGCAACAAGGACGTTCGGTAATTATTAAATTACGCGGGTATCGAGATCCACCATTATTGAGAGGTAAATGAATTTACAATTGTAATAAATTCGTTTGGTGCATGTATAAGTTGCATGTATGAAAAATATGTAAAATATATAAATATAAAATGTAGAAGATAAAATTAATACGATACGTAAGAAAAATCTAGGATTGTAATCTTCCTACACACACACACACACACACACACACACACACACACACATGTATATCATTGCTTTTTATAGTGATTAATGTCCCCTATTTCCAATATTCATTGAAAGAACTGCAAACAATGGCAAAAGATACGAAATGGATTATAGAAAAAATTCCATATCGGCAAACGGATTCTTATGAGGAAGTATAGCTCTATTTTCTAATTTTTAATGACATTTAAAATAATTATATGCGGTTACTAGTTGAAAAACTATTTTAATAAAAATTTACAGTTTACCGACACAGGTAAGAATGCATCAGATACATCTACTGAAAGTGATACTCGATATAGGAAATTGAACAGGTTTGATTGTGGGGAGTGTCTGGTAGGTGAACAAATTATCTTACCCCTGATGATTAAAAATGTCGGTGGCGAGGGAAGATTCTTTATTATGAGCGAACTAGATTGGTGTTCGATGCACATCGAGGTATAAAAATAATAATATAATACCATAAAAAAATAAAAAAGTAGAGTATTGACAATAACTATACAAATATATTCCTATCTTACTTTAGGATATTACTAACAATAATATATTGATTTTACCATCTTTTGCTATATGGCCTGTGTATTTTATCCTCAAACCACAAGAGCATATATATCTGTACCTCTATTTCTTCCCTGATGCTCATGGAATGCATGTAAATTATAATGCAAAAAAAATAAATTTGTTATATCTTTTTTGTTAGATGTCTTTCCTTCTTTTTTTTCCAGTATTAAAACATATCTAGATACACAAGTAAAAATACAAGTATCTATAAATTGAGATCTTTCTATATTTTATAGGTAGTAAGTATGGCATGCAATTTCCGCTAAAATACCTAAGTACTTAGATACTTCCAAAAAAGTACCCATAAATACCTTTTTGATATCCTATGCCCATATTCATAATCAGACATTGTACTTAAGGCTTCCTTAAATTTATTTTAAATGTTCAGCAGCCAATGAAATAATTCGTAGAATATCTAAAGATAAATTTAAGGAAGCCTTTAATATAAGGACTATGAATACGAGTATTATACTTTAGTGAAAATTGCATATGATACCTAGTACGTAGTACTAAATATGGAAAGATCTCAATTCAGATACTTGTATAACATGTGTAATTAGATATGTTCCAATACTGTTTCTCTCAAGTTTATTTTTTTTTAAATTAGGTGGAAACATTATATATGATTTGCAACAATTGTTCCGTGATAACGACAGAGATCATTGGAGATGGAGTCATGTATGAACAATAGTAGAGAGAGAAAGGTATACTTATTTATATATATAGTATTCTTATTCACAAAAATGTATCATTTTATCACGCACGCACGCACGCATCATAATATAAACACAATGATAAGAAGCAATGATCATGTTTCGATATATACTACTAGGACTGAAAGTCTATACTTCGTGACATATATTATAGATTTCCAGTACTAGCACTGTAAGTATATCGGAATACGGTCATAAAATAGATTGCGGAAATTCCATTTTTAGAAACAAAAAAATTCTTTTTACGAGAAGAGGTCTTCGAAATAGACATTTTCTCTTTTTTTCTTGGCATGTTCGCTTTTTTAAACTTCTTCCAAATTTTCTCAGCCCTCTCCCCCCTTCACTCTTAGATTTTTCTTCTTTACTTACTGTCGTAACGAAGACAATAAATGTTTTTAGATTTTAGCCAAGAATATTAAAAAAATTTATTAAATCAACAAAGAAATTCTTTCTCTTTCTCTTTTTATTAAAGTATTGTGTAATACATTTCGATTAATTTCATCATTTTAGGAACATTTTTTCAAACATGCAATAAAAAATCCAATAGAGTCACTTTCAGGACCAAATCTGCATACTTTTTTCGCATTCTCATTCGTTAAACCATCTATAATGTATCCTGGAGTGCCATATTTGTCTGTTTTTATTCGATCTTTAACAGATTGTAATTGCAATTTTGGAAATTGTTTCAATGCCCAAGCGATAATTCCTTCATTCTCTGCTATTGTGATAGTGCATGTACTGTACACCAATGTCCCTTTTAATTTCAATAGACGTACGGCCTATAATAATATTTATCTTTTTTAAGGTTTAATTTACGTGTATATATGTAATTAATAGATTGCAGATACATATTTATGTGGCAAATAATTTAATTTGTACACTTACAGTAGAAAAGAGATTTCGCTGCAAAGGAACATAAGAATGAAGTTGCGCCGGCGTGATTGTATTGTATAATTGCGGTCTTTGACCTAATGCACTGCATGGAGTATCTAAGAGAATACGATCGAAATAATTTTCTTCGAATGGAGGTCCGTCGGTATGCTCTCGGACGAAACTATGCTCTCGTTCGATGATAGCCTTTGTAGCGTCACAACAAAATATTTTTATATTTTTCTCATTTTCACACTTTTCCTTAAATCGTTTCACTTTACCTAAATTTTTCTCCAGAGCTATTATTGTACCCTAGAAATTATCAAAGATGATAATTAAATTCAGTGAATACACTACATATCTATTTTTTTTCTGATTGTTATCGTTTCGTGCTTGTGCGAATTTAAATAAGTAGATAAAGTGTACACAGTAATTGGAAAGAATAATGTTATATTATGTGCTGTGTAACAAAGAAATTCTTTTTTTCTTTAAACATTTACCTGTCCTTTCATAAGCAAGGAGATATGTGTAGTTTTGTTACCAGGTGCAGCACACATGTCCAGGATTGTTTCACCTGGTTGAGGATTTAAAACTAGGCTACACACAATAGAGGGCAAATTTTGTAATAATGCATGTGGTCTCAAAGATTCATTATTTACATTCAATTGTGGAACTCGTGAGATTACGTCAGTCATAATTATTGCAATACCGCTGGAAAACAATTCAGTAGAAAATAGAAAAAATTTAATAACACGAATAAAGTTATCATGCGTATAAAATTTTAACTTTTAAATATTGTGTAATATCTACAATTTAAATGTGATAGTTCTTTATAAACCATCTATTCTAACATAATTAAGTAAGCCAGCTTCTATTCTCGCATATATTTGGAACTCTATACCGTGGATTTCTAGCTGCTTTGCAAAATAATTCTTTCCTTGTTTGTCGAAGGATGCCGTTACCTAAATATATCTTATTACTATTTGCATATGGTTTAATTAAACCTTTCTTGCATTGACCAGCAACATCAGCGAATACACTAACTTTAGTATTAATGCTTAAACCTATAATTAAATAAATTTGATTATAAGATTCTTTTATGATACTTTTAATTACAGAAAGAATTCTATGTACACAGACTCTACCATTTGGCATTCCAATAACGCCAGGAGCATAAACATGAGAACCTCTTAGCACAGCCGCACCACATATAGCGTCAACGATAATTTCATCTGGATATATCTTTAAATCAAGAGATATCGAAAAATCCCAACTGTCGACTGCAACTATTCCATTTGGAAGATCCGGTAAGAAGTGAATAGATGGATCCGGTTTGCCATCCTAACGTAATATATAAGTAGGTCACATGTAAAATTTTCTTGTAAACAAAAGTACGTATCTAAAGAAATGATATCTAGAATATACTATACAGAATATATCCAGACTAAAAGACAAATCACATTTTTTTTGTTTTGGAATTACGAAGATTTAACGAATAACAATATATATCAGATATGTCAAGATTATATAATGTCTATGGAATATACGAGAAATATTTAAGTGTAAGTTTTTTTATAATATAGTTTGTGACTGAAAAACAACTCATATATATCACAATTACTTCTTATTGCAGCAAGATTAGCAAAATTATTAAATATCATAATTATGTATTACTAAAAAAAATTGATTTATTTGACGTACCTGCTTTAATGCTTTATATAAATTGTCCAAATCGTTCGTATAATAATCCGTAAAACGATCTAGTCTATAAAAGCTCTTCTTAGGTGTTGTACATAACCATTTACATAGAGCATCAATCTTTTCCTACAATTTGTTTTTGTTTTTCTTTAATGCAAATAGAAAATATTTGATTTTATATAATAGCGATAAGATAATTTACGAAAATTTTATTAAAATACCTCAATTTCAGATTGTTCCAAGTATTTATCGTTAGTTATCGCTTTTCTCAAGTCTTCTATTAATTCATCACATATTTCAAGTTTATGTTTAAAGGGCAAACAATGCACTTGTAATAACGTCATCTCTCTCTTTCTATTTTTCTATTTTTCTTATTTATCTTCATACGAATCTTGGTGCAATTGCTCTTCAATTATTATACAGCAGTTAGTTGAACATCTAATATAGGATAATCGTCGGTATTTAATTTATAATTTAGATAGATATTTTCAGATCCAGATAAATTTCAGCGAAATTTTGAATATCTTCTGAATTATTGTTCAAAATCTCTCTTGAACATATAGGAATATATTTTATTAACTAGGAAGTTTTTATTTAACCATTTGGTAAAAATGAAGAATTTGAAGACTAATTGATTATACAAAACGTAACGGTTGATAAAACTCTCGCATAAAAATTTCTTTTATTTTCATAACAGTTCTCATTTGCTATGCAGCTATTTACTTTTATATGGTAAGTTTAGAGTGTAATTAGGAAACAAAAAAACTATTAATTTTTGACATTTACGGGACATGACAACATCCTGTGTGAGTAAATGGAGGTTTGTATATACAAAACCACTTGTGCGCTTTTCACATATTTAATTGTTGTCATTGCTATCCTAGTAAATATCAACTAACAGCTGGTAACATAATATCAATATTACATTTTCCTATTGAACATTGTAACTATTACGTATAAAAGCATTATATATTATACTTATTTGTTGATTGAAAAAATTATAATACTCATGCATGATATGTCATTGTTATGTTAAGGTTTGCCCAAGATAATCATTTAAAAATAAAAAAAATAAATGTTTTAAATTTATGATTATCTGTAGCATATAATTAACAATAAAATAATATAATTAAAGTTATCCGGATATGTATTGCAATAAATTAATTTTTCTTTTATGTATAAACATTTGCGATAAATTAATGCGATACTCATTTTATTTTTTTAATATAGTTTTGACCAATATGCCACAAACAAAATGTCTACCTTTGGAAGAGTATCAACAACTTTGTTTAGATTTAGATCGAATACGCAGAGAAACTGCGAGTCTTCATCAGAAATTATATCATGCTAGAAGAAATTTAGAGGAGGAAAAACGTAAACGTCGAATGATTGAACATCATAAAAACTTGTTGGTAAAACTTCTTCTAGTATTAATTTCCTAAGCTCTCTTATATAGATATAAAAAATTGTTTTAAAAATATATATTATTAAATTATAAAATATTTATCATTTAATTTTAAAGCAAATATATTTGTATATTTTAAAGGAAAGCCAAATCAACATGGCTAAAAAGGTATTATTTCATGACAGAGAAGTAAACTCGAACGAAGATATAAGAAAGAAATTAGAATTTCTGAACAAACCTGAAGTAGAATATACAAGTAATAATTTAACCATCCAAGATAAATGGAGTGATAGGCAGTAGGTATAGAACTAGCGTAAAGTATTGTATAATATATATTCTATTTACACGAAAATTCCATGATTTTTATAGTTTGACTGCAATAGCGGAAACGGATTCTACGGGTTCGATATTAAGTGACTTAAATTGTTTATCCAAGTCAGAAGATGATTTGGATACCGATACTATCATAAAGGTTCAGAAAGAAAAAAAGTGGAAAGAGTATAAACCTAGTGGTGAATATTCTATAAATAAACAGTGTGGCACATTAGATAAAATTGTAGAATTTAATTCGCCAGATGGAGTAACAGTGAAAAGTAAGGCAAAAAGTAGTGTACGCTTTGTACCTGTCACAACCCAAATTGCATCTAACAAAGAAAATGTAAATTCTAAATTATCCAAGCTCGAATCGTCTTCTGCTAATCACAACTTTATATCAAAGATAGTTATTAAACCGGAAACATGTACTCCATGTGGTAAGAGGTAATATCTAGAAGATGATTAGCGACAGTTGTATAATGAGTTGTATAATACAATTAAAGATTTAGACCATTAAGTTATATATCTCATTTTCCTTCTGTTTGATGTCAGAATCAGGTTTGGAAAGATAGCACTGAAATGTCGAGATTGTCCTATTACATGTCACACAGAATGCAAGATTCAAGTTTCTTTAATTTCATGTGAATGCAGAAAATCAGCAACGTTATTCGATGGATCTGTAAGTACTACACGAAAT